TATTTCCTATACCCACCACAACAAATTATTACAAATGTAGTATTTAAAACAGCACTTATTTACTATTTCATAGCTACATATATCAGAAGTTCTGGCAAGGGGTCAATTGGATTCTCTGCTCAGGTTCTCATGAGGCTGAAATCAAGGTGTCTGTGGGCCAGTGCTCCCTTCTGCAGCTCGCGATCTTCTTCAGAGCTTATGCATTTGTTGGCGTAATTTAGAACTCTATAGGACTGAGGACTGGCCTTCTTGCTGCCCATCCACCAGGGCTACTTGGTCACCAGCCACATAATTCTCTCCACAACATAGGAGTTTGGTTCTTCAAGGCCAACAGTGAAGCACCTGCTGTTTCTTTGAATCTCTTGGACTTCTTTACTGATTTCTAGACCTTCTTTTAAAGAGCTCACCTGATAACATCATGTCTACCCAAGATAATCTCTCTTTAAAATGCAACTGATTAGCGAGTATAGGTGCTAGTGTTTCGGGAGTAAGCTTAATTTGGGAGTAGGGATTAATTCTGATGTAGGCAACAGTCAACCAATACAGAAACACTGCCACTGCGGACTGCGGGAGCTGCTGAGACGGAAGGGAACAGTGCACTGTGACAGAGCAACTAGGGAAGAGCTCTTGTGACAGGTGATATCTGGGCTGAGACCCAGCAGAGTAGCATCAATCAATCATGAGATGAGCTGAGGGAAGAACAGTGCAGGCAGCAGCTGAACTTTTTTTTTTTTTTTTTAATAAGCTCTATGCCTGTTGAGGGACTTCGATTCATGACCCTGAGGTCAAGAGACGCATGCTCTAGCCATTAAGCCAGCCAGGCGCCCCAGCACCAGCTGAACTTTTATACTGTGTCTGAAACAAACTGTGCAAGAGTACAGCTTGTCCTCCTGAAGGGAGGTCTCTAAAAGCTTGATTTCTTTGGCTTTGAGTATTTCAAAAGTGATTTGTGTATTATTTGGTTTTGAGTATTTCAAAACCACAATCCAATCAGGAATTGAATTTATTGAACACTTGGGGTGCTGCATGCTTTTTCCACACATAAGACAATGTCTTCTGCTCCTAGAGTGTTCTACTAAGCCATCTGTTGCACCTACTGCAATCAGTGGGATCAATGGCATTTTATTTGTGTTCTACTTCTATCACTGGTGCTATAGAATGTTTTAGCTGTTTTAACAACTATCATTACCCAACTGCAAGCATACTTAAGTGTCTTCTTACAGATAAATGTGAATTTCAAAGTGAGTATATTCTATGTCAGCAAAGAAGAAAGAAGAGGTTTCTTTCTGTCTTTCAACATTTTAAATTTATATACTGGCTTTCAGTGTGAATCTATGTCATAACACAAGTCAACCCCAGGTTTGAATTTTATTCAAATATGAAAATATTTTATATTATAGAACCCCTATTTTACCACAATTAGCTATACATTGAAAAAATCATTTGAATAAACAAGTCATTATTTTGGTGTTCTTCATTTCCTCCCTATCCATCATCCCCTCTTCTCTACCTCATTCATAAATTATGAAATCCTGAAAACTCCACGTAAGAAATAATTCTGAATCCTACCCCTACTTCATTCTCCCTGCAATGATTGCCTTATCATGCCATTAAGTTCTCTCCATTGACCCTTTGAACAATCTCAACTAGTCTTCCTGCTAAGAGCCTCTTCCTTCTCTAGTTCATCTTTTATACAGTTACCAGATTACGTTTCTAAAAACTGAACAAAGTCACTGTCCTCCTGAAGGTTACAAATTCAAAATAAACATGTGATAATGAGGTATAAAGAAAATAAAAACAGGATAAGAGGAAAGAATAAAGGAGGGAGTAATTAAAATTTTAATGATAAAAATGACATATAACACTATATAAGTTCAGGGTATATGCATCAGGAAGGAGTAATTTCAGGTAGGGTGGTGACCTTTGATTATAACAAGTGTTAATGACCTTCAGCCAAAGGCCAGCAGGAACACACCCATAGTCAAACCAAGTTGGGTTTATTGACTTGTCACAAGGACACAGATAGCACACCAAGAGGAACTGTGGAGAGTCTCAGTAGAAAAGGTGTTGTAAAAGACTTATTAAAGGATTGGGCTTGCGTTAGGTGATTCTAGGAAAGTTCCAGACTTTGCTCTGGATTGGGTGCTGTCAGGAAGCAGGTAATTCTATGATTGAATATTTTAATAATTGTTTTCTAGAAGGTAGGAAGAACAGAGCAAGGCTAGGTTATAATTGGTTAAGAAACAGAAGTCATTTATATTAGCCAGAATGCTTGGTCATTTTTGTGGTTTGGGGAATGTTCTTGTATTTGCTTTGTTCAGACATGATTATAGAAGGGTCTTATTTTTGGTTGGTCTATTATGGTTACAGAGTAGCCATGACTGATGTTGATGTTTTGTGAGATTATTGATGTACAACAGAACACTCAGACCTAGCTGAGAGTGCCAGTAACACCAAGGCCTAGCTAATAGTTCCAGGCCAGCTCCTGGTTGTTCAGGACCTGCTTTTCTTTTTCTAACTAACAAAACCATGAAGTGCTATAATTGTCTCTAAATTGCTATTTATAACTCTTACTCATAACTCTTGTTTCCTGAATATTTAGAATATTTATCAGGGTTATTATTTAGAGATATTAGTTCTAAAACTCATCATAGCTCTGGTGACCACAATGGTAGCTTACTTAATCATTCCTAAAATACACAAGATCCTCTGCTACATGCTGTGGTCAAGAGAAAATCAGCCACCTCTTTATGGCTGAACAGCTCTGGAATTGGAAGAACTAGTGCTGTAAATTTCAGAAACCACTTCAAAAGTCTGCCACTTGACTCATGTTCTGAAAGCAAGAAGTTAGAGTTAGATTATAGGTGTAATTCTGATAGGTCTGCATGGTGCCAAGCTGTGTAGTAATCACATGGGGAGCTTGTTAAAATCAGGTAGAGATTCTAGGGCCCCAACTCTAGAGTCTGATTCAGCCTAAGTTTTTGGCATTTATCCATGTTTTAAAATTTTCTTTCTTTTTAATTGCTGAGTAGTATTCCATCGAATGAGCTTATTTATCCATTCTCTATTGATGGACATTTGGGGTGTTTACAGGTTTTGGTGATGGTGAATAAAGCTGCTATGAATATTTTTGTGCAAGTCTTTTTGTAGATATATTCTTTTCTATTTCTTAGGTAGATATCTGTAAGTGGAATTCCTAAGTATTAGTATATGTTTAATATGAAACTAATGGGTCCACAATTTTGACATGAAGCAATAAGATTTAGAACACCTCCTACATTTGCTCAAAGTGCAGCTTGGTAGAGATGGCAAAAGACCCGTTTTAAGGCCTCAGGCAACCCCTGTCACTACTAACCTCTTCACCTCAGCATTGAGCTCTGGAGCCCTAGAAGATTCCTATACAGTCCCAGAGGGATGAAAGCTATGTGTATAGTATCTGTAGAAAATGTAGTTTGGGCAATGCATTTGATAGTAATAAATATGTAAAACCCTTTGACAAATCTTTGCCTCTAGGTTTCTTGGAATTCCACCTCACTGTGATCAAGCTCAGAAATAGAGATCCCTGAATGCTGGCAGGCCTAAAATAAAAGTCATTCTTGACAAAGAGGCCATTATTAGCAAAAGTTTGATGGTATGTTTGGGCAAAGGCAGGGTGAGGCTGGCCACAGGAGTGGGAAAGTCACACAGGCTCAAACAATGGGTCTCTAAGGTGAAGGGCCTTGAATCTTGAAATACTGCTTCCTCAGTTCTCTCAAGTTATTCTTAGCAGCTTTTTAAAATACTGCCACTTTCCTTCCACTCTTTAGCAGGTAACCAGGCTCCACTTAAAGTAAAATACAGACCCGGTGAAAGGAACTTTTTCACTTTCATTATCTTTCAATCTGCGTCCATTCTTTATCTATCTTTCCCTTATCCCTCCTACTCAATGAAGACGGTATCTCTCCTAAGGTACTCTGCCATTCCACCATCTCAGGGGCCTTGTTGTATTATCTTTTTTCATCTCCTCACCTCCTCGTTTATACTGACGCGCGTATTCCCATCATTTAAGCCTCTTTCAATTTGTCTCTCAAGACAGGTACCGCTCTAATCATTGCCCTATTTCTTTGGTCTCATGAGAGTCAAACCTTCTAAATGGTTGTCTGCAAAGCCTAGTTCCTCTTTCTCATCTGGGTCACCAAGGTCCGCCTAGAACCGTTTATCATATAGTAGGCACTGCACAATCATTTTTAAGGTGTACGATGGATGGATAGGTGGAACTCGGAGAGTGCAGAGGCTCATCTATAGCTTGCAGCCTGGAATGCTGGATGACTCAATCGGTTGAGAAACTGTTTATCTTTTTGGCGTGCATAGGTAACCTGATACATGCTTTCACTTTTGAAATAAAGTTATGAAGTCAGCAGTAGGCCACAAGCAACAAGTATAAGAACAAGTGGAATACACAGCGGTGCGGCACCACTCATTAGCCCCTCACGTGAGAACACAGGGCCACACATCTGGAACTGCACCGGAGAAGCAGCAGGGGACCCAAGTCGGCCTTCCGGCGGAACCCTGTTTACGGCTCCTCGGTGGCCTCGGTCTCCGAGTCTGGGGGTGGGGGTGAGGGGAAGAGCGCAGCGGCTCGCGGCCAATGGCAGTTCTTGAACTTACACCTACAGACGTCAGCGCGGCTGTGCAAACGGATGTCACACAGCTGGCTCGGAAGCGTCTCCTCCCGTCCCAGAAAAGAGGCGTGGACCCAGCGGCCTCCGCGAAACCTTGGGCGAGGGAGGGAGGAGCGCGCGCCGCTCCCCGCGAGCCCCGCGCGCTCACCGGCCCGCGTCTTCCCAGCAGTCCCTGCCTAGCGGCCGTCCCCGGTGAGCAGCCGGGCGCCC